CAATACAGTTTTAAAAAATTATTGAGTACATTTAATATATCAGGAATGAGTATGAATTCAAACCCAAAGGAGGGAATGGTATCAGAACTGAAATTGAGAACATCCAGTTTGCAGAATGCTATGGATGAAAGTGGGAACCCAAAATCAACACATGGATTAAGCATCCAGTGAATTCCCTCTGACCATAGAGCAGGGATGTGAATAACCTTGCTGTCATGCAGAGTACAGTAAGAGTTTTTTTCAGTCATTTGGGTTTTTTTGGGTATTTTTTCCCCCTTTGCTTTTCTGTAGGTGTGAAATCCAGGATCATTAAAGTGATAGAGACAGTGAATGCAGTAATGATATCTGGTGGGGGAGGTTGGGGAGAAATGGGGAGCTGATAACAAGAAAGAAGCAACTGTTCTAAAATTGATTGTGGAGATGATTGTCCAACTCCTTTTAATATTATTGAACTTGTGAGTTATATGCCAATAAAACTGTTAAAAATCAAATATTAAACCAAAAAAGAGAAATTTTTACATGAATTAAATCTTATAGCAGGAGCCATTTTAAAAATTTAGCAATGGACTAACTATATTAACTATAATATACAGCATATAGTTAGTGAGTTAACCTTATCAACTATAACATCACTATGTATAGTTAATATGTAGCCATAAAAATTATCCTGTTGAAAAATATCAATTATATATTTAAATAATGGGAGAAGGAAAGAATATACAGAAGAGAAATATGAAAAGAGTATATGGAAGAGAAATATAAAGAGTATGTGGAAGAGAAAGTCTATCGTTAATATCAACTCGGAATTCTTAACCTAAAGTCAATAGGTTTCATAAATCACAGTTAAAATTCTGTGTGAAAGAATGTAATATTAATTTTCTGGGTGAATATCTGTATTTATACATGAGAGCTTCAAAGAGATCTGTGACCTAAAATATACTTCCAGAACTCTAAGCTCACTGCCATTAAGTGGGTGCCAACACATAGATGCCCTATAGGACAGAGTATATCTGCCCCTGTGGATTTCTTCCTTTCTTATATCTGTTCCTGTCAGAGTTACTTAGCTCGCTTTTTTAATTGCTGATAGTTACTCTGACATCAATTCCGGCACATAATGACTCCTTTTATGTGGAGTAGAATTCGTAGTATTTTTTCCAAGCCTAATCTTTCTCGCTCAGAGTGGCTGACGGTTGAACTACTAAGTTAGTAGCCCAATTTGTAATCCACCATACCAGCAGGGCTAGTGGTAGTTCTCTCTGAGTTGGTGGGATTATTGGTATAGTCATTTACATTTGCTCTGTTCTTTAGTGAATAAGTGTGCATACATGTGTGTTTAAAGGTAGATGAGTGAGACAACCTCATCCACAGGACAGAGTCTGTTTTCAGGAGTGAAGCCTGAGACAAAATGGGATAGTGAATATTTCCGAAAGTATGAAGGATTGTTATCATGTACTTGTTGGTTATTTTGGAATTTCATGATTTATCTGGTACTTTTAAATGTTTGGTGCCCCTTTTTTATGTTCCGTTTTAACCATGAGTATCAAATTTCTTCTAATTGCTAAGGTATGAGATATCTATTTACATGGAAAAATTTTCTAACTGTAATCCCACAGTGCTACTAATCTTCTCATGATAGTTTTAGAATAACAGTGTTTTCCCCCAACATTACACCTCCTAGCCACTGGATATGTCTTCCCATAAAAGATGTGAAAATTCCCAGAGGGTGGAAAAACTTCCAGTAAAGGGTGGTCCTTTCTTTGATGATACTGTTTGTTTCTTTCCCTTTTCTGAAGATTATCATTAATATCTTTGTGGCTAAGGGCAGAGGAAGGGTTCTTTCTACAATCTATTATTAGAGATTTATGTTGACATTCCTAAGTAGAACGTTACAAACTTTTTGGAGTTAATGAAACAATCTTTCTTTTATTCTGGGTAATTTTTAGTGTCCCTATCTGGCCTTTTGATAGGTTGAAATATTGTTTTTAGAATAAACAGCTAAATTTGGCAATAAGATCAAGTAACACCATTCTTCACAATTATGACAAACCCAACGTGATGGATTTTTTAAATTGTTGGACTTCTTTCAAATGCCATTTTAAGCTTGTTTATCAAGCAAATACAAAACTATTAATGTGCAGCCATATTTTTAGGGGTTCGGTTGTATATCGTCGTCAGCATTGTAGTCTTTGCTTGAATGATCTCTTGGTTGATGCAGATGATTAGACTTGGCGGGGAGGGCTTAAGGGAGCTAAGTTTTAAGAGGGTTCTAATGCACTTCTGGAATACACTGTGGCTTCAGTGGGTCTTTATTCCCTTGGCTTTCTTTTACCTTTCAGTCTGTACTTCCCAGTTGTGTTCTTCCTTTCTTATACCTGTTCCTGTCAAAGTTAATTAGCTCACTCTGTTAGTTGCTGACCAATTCTGGCACATAATGACTCCTGGTGTGTGGAGTAGAATTCGTAGCATTTTTTCCAAGCAGATTGCCTTAGCCTGTCATTTGAAACACCTATGGCCAAGTTTAACTGCCAACCTTTTTACTGAGAATCAAGTGCATAGCTGATTATGTCTCTCTCGAACCACTGTCTTAAACTGTGTATCTGTACAAGAAAGTCCATTTATTTAAGTGGCCTCCGTTGCTAACTGTTCACATCCTGATGACTACAAATCATTATTTCATATTGGTATAACCAACCACTATTAGACATTTACTTTTAAATATCTTAGACACATCCTAACATCAACATATTTAAAAGCAAACTTATGAAACCTGATGGGTTCCAGGAGTTGGACTTAACACCCACCAATGTCCACAGCTAAAAACATGGGCACCGTTATTGACTCTTTTACCGCCCCACCAACACCCAATTAGCAAGCCCTACTGAGTCTCAGTTACCACCATGCCAAGCTCTAGGATAGCATCATCTTTTATAGAGATGATTACAATAGCCTCCAAACCGGTCCCTGAACTTTAGTTTTTCTCATCTCTAATATATTCTGCTATAAAAAAAGATTCTTTTCACTTTCCTATTTTGATGGCTTTCCATTTCTAATTGTACTCAAGGAAAGAATGATATGAAATGATTTTTGGTGGAAGTTAAAAATTTAGGGGAAATATTTTTACAGGTTGTTAGGTGTCTCACAGTGTGATAATTATTGGTGAAATAAGTGGTGATCTTGAAATTGTACATTAGCAAAAAATTATTAAATACCACACAACAAACACTTTGAATTTTTGTTTCCATCAGAAGAAAAAAAAATTCATGTGTAGTAAATTCATAGATAAAGAACCTATTTCTTTAAACCAAGATTTATTTCAGATTTAACTTGAATAACATGAATAAATCACTGGAACTATCAATGAAAAGAATTGAAGACATATTAAGAAGTGTCGAGCTGATAGCAAGGGCTCAAGTAGAAAGTAAATATTTTGAGAATGATGACGGCAACAAATGTACAAATGTGTTTGACACAATGGATGTATGTATGGATTGTGATAAGAGTTGTACGAGCCCCCAATAAAATGATTTTTTTTTAATTCCACCTTCAATAAATAAATAAATAAATGGCATATTACGCCCCCTCACCCAAAGAAGTGTCATTTCCTGCATTTTGAATATAAGTTGAAAATAAATAATCTGAGCCTGCGGAAATTCATTTAAAACCTCTCCTATTCCTATCAGTATGCTTCTGTGAGACTAGTTTCCCTATTATTTGTGAGTTCTATTAAACAAAATAATAGATATTCAGCCTGCATTAAATACATTAACAAACTGGCAGTCGTCGTCCATGTATTATAAACCCTACCTCCCGCCTCCTGGTATTTAGAATTCCCTCCCACATTGCACCAAGTTTTATTTTTGTGACCAGTAAAATACAGCAGAAATTATAATCTGCCACTTTTGTGATTAGGTTATGACAGACAATGCAGCTTCATTTTAGGCTCACTTTTTCTCTCAGATCACTTGTTTTTGAGGGGCACTTGCTTTGATGGGTGTCTGAGCCCACGAACGAGGCCTACATAGGGGACATGGAGTCTCTTGCCAACAGAGTGAGGAGCTGGTGCCTTTTGCCATCAGCCATGTGAGTGAGCTTAGAAACAAATTGTTCAGCCAAAGTCAAGGCTTCAGATGGCTGTAGCTCTGGTACGGAAGCATCATGAAAGCAATTTGTTAACTGCAGCCAACAGAAACGAGGTAAGAAATGTGTTGTATGGCATTAAGTTTCGTGGCAATTTATAATGTATTGACGAATTAACTAGTACGAGAAATTAGCTCGTGTATTACATTAAAAACCAACTATTGGCATAAAGTTCATGAATAGGTGTTTATGAGGAATTGCCATTCCATGCCTACTTTTGGTTAAATTAGGATTATGGGATTATGAACCGTATGAGTGCGAAAGCAGTTTTATGTAATTTTTCTCCTAAGTTCTGATTATATTTATCAAAATGTAATATCTGATTATATTTATCAAAATTTGAGACTAAGAAAAAAAACTTCTATTGTATATGGTCTTTTGTCCTCTCTGTGTTGTCCAGTTTATGTTACAAAAGTGTTTGTCCAGGAAAAATTGACACGTCAGAAGAGAAAAACGGTGGTTCCTTTATCTTAGGTTTCCTGGGTTAATTCTCATGGTACTAAACTTTATTAACTGATAGTGTTACCGTTTTAAAAAATTGGTTAGATTCCCTGATAAATTGAAAGTTCTCTGAGCAGGGACCATGCCTGTGTTTGCTGATATATCTTCAGTACCTTCTTCATGTTTGATACTTGGCAAGATCTCAGTCGATATTGGTTGAAAGAATTAATGTTCTTTTTCTCACACACCCCTCCCCCATTGTGTTGGAATAATTATTAACTGCTACATTTGTAAATAAGTTGTCTACCATAACCATGTCACCTCAGAGGAATGTTCATTGTTTAAGGTGAATAGAAAATTTTCTTGGCATTCTTCTCACTGAATAACAGGAATTTTTAAAAAACATGTATTTTTCCCCATAGCACAACCACCGAAGAAGATGCCTCAAGTAGATATTCCAGACCAGATAGAAGTGGGTTCAATAGATACAACAGGGATGCAAATGCTTCTGGTAATTTAGTCTCAAGTAGCACATTGGAAAAGAAAATTGAAGATCTTGAAAAGGTACGAATTATACATGATTTAAGATTTTCTGATAAAATGGTTATGGGAATTTTCTCCCCCACTTCCACAGCAACTGCAAGGAAAGGGGGGAAAGCTATTGAAAGTGCCACGAAGTAGAGCAAGAATGACAGACTCTAGTCCAGTGGGAGACTGAGTCATGCTCCTCTGTCTTTATGCTTACAGTCAAATTGTCCTTTGCTGTGGAGTCAGTTCTGACTTACATTAATCCTAAGTGACAGTAGGACTGCCCTATGTGGTTTCTAGCCACATCTTTTCCCTGTGGAGTGGCAGGTGGATTCAAACTGCCCACCTTTTAGTTAGCAGCCAAGTGCTTAACCACTGCACTGCTAAGGCTCATTAAAAACAAACTCACTGCCATCAAGTCGGTTCTGACTCAGAGTGACCTTTAGGACAGAGTAGAACTACCCTGTGGGTTTCTGAGACTAAATATTATGGAATAGAAAGCCTCATCTTTCTCTGACAGAACAGCTTGTGGGTTTGAACTACTGACCTTTCAATTAACACCCAACTCATAACCCAATATGCCATCAGGACTTCTTACAACATCTTTAATTCACTTAGTATCTAGACAATAATGGCTGGACATATTCTGATTTCCTTTATATATTCCTGTTTACTTCTGTTGATGCTAAAGCTTTAGTAATGAAGCCAATTCTTGTACAGTGATACCTCAGTTGTCAAACAGTTCCAAGCTCGAACTTTCCACTCCTTAAACAGCAAAGCTAGAAAATAACCTATTCGGTGTTCGGAACTTTGCTTGATAGTCTAGCTGAAAATCGACTGGAAAAAACCTGTACAGGCAAGAGTGAGCCACACTTCGATTCTTGCCTCGGGCGCAAAGGGTGACTCACGGTTCAGTCTACATACTGCTCTTGCTTAGAGAGCATATAATGCTTGTGCTAGTGTGTTGAAACATCCGTCAATGTGCCTTTGTGTGTGTGTGTGTGTGTGTGTGCGCGCGCGCGCGCGCGCGCGTGCTTTGAGTAAAATGTCATAACCATGACTCAAAAAAAAGCTAGTGATAACAACAGTAAAACCTAGACCTAGAGGAAAACAATGAGAACCACTGTAGAGTTAAAGAAAGAAATCATTGCGAAATTTGAATCAGGTAGTTACTTGTCTTGATTGGTGGCAGAACACAACATGGTTAAGTCAACATTATCTTTTTTCTGACGGGGGGTGGGGGATGTGATTGTTAATGTAGCAAAAGGTATGAAATTGTTTACCATGAAACAAAAAGCTCAGATCATTGGAAGTAGTTGAAAAGTTACTGTTAATTTGTATAAATCAGAAAAACTTGATGCCAACAGCATATCCAAGACAGTGTTATGTGAGAAGGCTAAAAGGCTGCAAGTGATTTGAATCCTGGAGAAATGAAGGCATATGTATAATTTTGGAGCCTTAGAACCAATTATTTAGTTTTCCATTATTTTGAATGCAGAAAATATGTTCAGTTCTCGAACTTTTCATTGTTCAAACAGATTTGAAACAAATTGAGTTCGACAATCAGGTTATCACTGTATCATGTTATAGTTAATGGGTACTCCCATTCTGCTAAGTGTTCTATTTTATTGGAAAACAGCCCCTCCCTTTAAAGCAGTTATAAGTTTAAGGTGGTAATTAATCCCCCCAACAAACAAAACTTCCATGCTATAGTATAGAGTCAATGCTTTATATAGCGAACCCCTGTGGGTTTCTGAGACTATTTATGGGATTAGCCCGGTCTTTAGCCTGTGGAGCAGCTGGTGGTTTTGATCTGTCAACCATGCAGATCACAGCCCACGAGTAACCACTACACCACTGGGGCTTTTATGGTGGGTGAAACCTTCAACTAAGGGTTTCAAAATGATTGAGGAAAAAGTACCAGTATCTTTTAATTTTTCCACAACCTTTTGGGAACCTCTTCATATACCATTGTGAGTTAATTTTCAATAAAGTTTGTAGACTTTATTTTCTGTTCTGAGTTAGGTCATGATTGGTGTTAGAACCAATTTTGTGTATGAATAAGCTTGTTTTTAATTATCTTTGAGGACAACTCAAATAAATTATGGCATAAAATTATTAACCATAAATATCAGCTTTCATTGACCTTTACTCTTTAAAATTGGGAGTGGTACTATATTACTTAAAGATTTTGAAAATGAGGTGTGTTTTTTTTCTGACTTGAAATTATTCTGCATTTCAAATAGATAATAATTTTATATAACATTACCATTATTTTTAGGTCATATGTAAGCTACAACTATTTTCTACCCGGAGTTATTATTTCATTCAACTCCTTAAAGAATAAGTGATCTAAAATATTCATGGGGATTGTCAGAAAAAAAAGCCCCCGGAGTTCACAAAGGTTTGCATGCAGCCCTGAACACAGCCCCTGGGGTTCGACTTAGGACAACTCCTGCAAGTGCTCTTAATTGAAATAGTTGAACTAACCCTTAATGATAACAAATTCTTTATCACCTCCCTTCGCTTGCTGCCCGTATAGCTTTTAAACAATTGAAAGGGTATCTAACCTTTTCTTGCATTAGAACAACAGACCCCAAGCATTGAGTTGATTCCGAGCCATAGCTACCGTTTAGGGCACACTGGAACTGCTCCATAGTGTTCTGGGTCTGTGTGCTCTCCCATCAGCAGGTGGTGTCTGCCTGCCCCCTGCGGAAGGGTTGGTGGTTCTGAACTGCCTGCCTTGTCCCCTGTGCCATCAGGTCTCTTTTCTTGCACTACAGATTCATTAGCCATACCCACCTGTTACAACTCAAATTCCACTTAAAAGATTTAAAGAAGCATCTGTTTATAACCTGGGGATTCTGGGAGTTGGTAGTAGCTAATAAATACAGATAACTTGCTCCTTTTTTGTTAGAGAGAGTAGTAAGAAAGTAGCCAAATTTCAGCCAAGTCCTTTCAGCTTGGTCTCTCTGTCCCCAAGATGGCTGACCCAGCCCATGGCTTTGGATTCTAAACAAGATTTCTTTTAAGTATTGCGTTCTTATTTTGCTTTGTTTTTGAGTTTTCATGTTGATAATCTAATAAAATGCTTTCGTTTCATTCATTGTCACTGAACAGTATAACCTGAGGCAAAATTGAAGACCTTAATTTTCAGCCTAGAGTTTTCTAGTGGGCAGTCTCCTTTTCTAAATCCTTATATATTTAATTTAAATTTTCTCATAGTCTATTATCCATATAATTGCCTCTTAGTTAATTGTAGTGATAAAAGTTACCAAGGGTATTTGTTAAAGGTGTGTGGAAATCTGTATAAATTCAAAACCTTTTTTACAACTTCTATATTCCCCCTTATGCCCTTGATTCCTTTGGCAGGCGGGTGGGTGGAGTGGGGCGGGAAGGAAAGGGGGGGTGTCCCCCTCACTATAAATACCTTAAAAAGTTCACTGAAAACCTTCATATATCTAAGATTATTTCACCAATGTTAGATGCATGCCATTTAAAGATTATCAATAATCGGTTGCATCACAATTAATACATTATAATTATGTCTACTAGGAAATAGTAAGAGAAAGGCAAGAAAACTTACGACTTGTGAAACTGATGCAAGATAAAGAAGAAATGATTGGAAAACTCAAAGAAGAAATTAATTTGTTAAACAGAGTAAGTATTTCTCATTTTGGTATTATGGTTTCTTTGTTAAATAGAAGAAAATATATCATACATTACATAATTGAATTACTTGGCTTTTTGTTAGTGATATAGTTTGTGATAGTAAAAAATATCATTTTATTCCAGCTGATTTCATCTGGCCAGTTTTCAGATATAATCACTTATATGTATTAATTTTGGAATTGATTGATGAGTGAGTTTGTTCTATATTTTGTTAGAGTTGGAAATACAGGTAGCGTGGCACAGTTTTCTCAACGAAGAATTAAAGTTGTTACTTTCTCTGTATAAGAAATCTCAGATGTCTTTATCTTATTTTCATTCTTTTCCCCCTCGTTTTGCATCACCAGCTTTAGGTTAGACTATACCCTACTCTCAGAATTATTGCTCTTTGTAGTTCTTGCTTTGTATTTGAGTCCCAGAATTTGCTGCTTAAGAAGCAGATATTTTTGGTAACTCAAGTGTAGTAGTGGTGAGATGAGAAGAAATCCCATCTCACCGAAGAGTGCTTTAGAGGGATTTTTAGTAGGCTGAAGGAAAGGAAAAGTTTGCTTCCGGGTAAAAAGGAGCAGGCCCCCTACCCAACCTTAACTCTAACCAGGAAAGAAGAAAAACTTCTTTCTCATAAAGCTCTAAAACACTAGCTTACAGGTTGTTGATTATGAAACAAACTCAGAGTTGATGTAATTTTCTCTAGATCAGGTGTAATAAATTACATAGTAATCAGCTGAGCTACTATATGACCTCCTATATATTTGATAATTTTAACAGTGTATAATAGCTATTATACACTGCCTTTCATTTTTCAAAATACAGACATATATTGATATTAAAATGTGATTTAATGAATTGAGATTTTTAAAAAATCTGATACATACTCCCTGTATTAGTTGCTGTGGGCATTAAAAAAAACAAAACCCTTGCCTTTGTGAAGTTTACAATTTAAAACTGGTGTATGAATGTATTTTATTTAATTCTAGATCTTAACTAGATTTTCGTTACCATAGTTTTAGGAATCTTGTATTTTTTATTATCTCAGCAGATTGGCTCCCCAACAGCTTTCGTTTAGTTTGTGAGTAAATGCAAATTCTAACTTTGCAAAAATCATTTTAAAAAGTACCTAGTTCAAAAGCATTGTACTTTTGAATACTGCTTTTATATAATATACTTAAAATTCAAGCTGATTGCATTCAAGTTTTGGAATTTTAAATTGTAAGGAAGAATTTATAGTTTTCCCAGCATTAGTTAATAGTCTGCTTTGAAATAATATTTCTCATAACTAGAATGTGTCAAATGGTTGATATACTACTAGACTATGGGGACTGTAGAGCTGGGATATGTATTTTAAAGCTAGACGATTATTAGCTAGTTTTATGGTTTTCAGTTTTGTTTTTAAGCTCCAAAATCTTTGCCACACATAAGCTATCATTTTGAAAAGCACAACATAAAAATTAAGCTAAATCAACTTCTATGTGCTCCTGATCCGCTCCTTCTACATGCCTCATTTGTATCTTCTGCTTAGATGTTCACCCCACATACACTTATTAAAGATCACACCCAGGAGGTAGGAGTGTATATTCAGAACCTGTAATGGTATCTCTTGATGTACAATTTGATGGAAAGTTGTAACCTGGGACCTTTAATAAAGTCTGAGTTGACATGCATGTTTTGTTAGGCTGCCATTTGTGGGACTTCACCAGGTGGGACTTGGTTTTTAACTAGTAATGGTTAAAAATTGGGAGATTCACAATTCCAATTCCTGACTTGTCTTAGGAAATGGAATGATCTGGCCAAAGCTGGTCCTCATTTGCTCTTGGTGACAATGCCATGTTGAATAATGGCTGCTCCTTTCATGCGGAGCACCTTTTATCTGAAGTTATTTCAGAATTTGCCTCGTTTAAAAATGAATACTTGAAAACAGGTCATTTTAGGATGCATAATTAATGGTATTTGTATAGCCTTCAGAATATTTGTCTTATGTTTAAAAATCTCATAATATTATTTGCTTTTTTCACTTAAGGACCTAGATGACATAGAAGATGAAAATGAACAACTAAAACAAGAAAATAAAACTCTCTTGAAGGTTGTTGGGCAGCTGACAAGGTAGAAGATTCAAGACAGTGTGGAAAGTACTTTAAAACTACTGATTGAATGTTATGGTCAAAGCTAGGACAATATTCCTATGATAGAATGCATTCAAAAAACAAAGTATGTATATTTATTTCTAGAAAAGTGATGTTTATTTTCAGAATAATTCTTTCTCATGATTAGCTTCAAACAAAGTATTCATGTTTTATTCCACAAATAAGTGACAGTTACTAAAAGTTTATGACTTCTGTGGTTCTGTGTGGTATTCAAATAATATATGATTTAAAGTCATAACCGTTTAAATACATTTTATCTTTGGTAGTGCATTTTCTCCCTAAAGCAATATACATAGTCTCTGTTTACATGAATCCATATGTTTGGGCGGGAGTTACTTGCAAATACCTTATCACTGATGTGTACAACTTTTTATCTGTTTATGTCTTACTCGAAGTCTGTCTGCTGTCATTTATTCTTTCAACTTACTTTAAGTGATTTAGAGTCATAGATTCATGCTGTGATGTTACAGTTATCTTTTTAAAGGAAAGCTACTAGAAAAAGTCACTTAATATGTATTTGTTGGCTAAGTATACTTTTTTTTAATACTTGAATTGTGCTATAGTAAATGAAAATTTACTGTTTTGAATTTGAATATCAAAATCACTTCAGCTTTTGAAAAACAATTGTAATTTTACTGTAAAATTTCTACTGTAGGTACTGTTTATTAATGAACATAAAATATTTTAAAAGTTGGTTATTCTTCAGGCCTGGAAAGTCTTACAATTTCTGTGTATAAGGAAAAATTCATGTTGCTGATGATATTATGTATGTTATATGCATTAAAAAATCAAAACCAACATATTTACACACATTTAAAGCATTTATTGATTACATGAGTGAAACAATACATAAGTAGAACTAGTCCTAAAATAGGTTGCCAGTTTCTAACTCTGAGAATAGCATTGACAGTTATTTTCACTCATTTAAGAGATTATTTTTCTAGCCCAGATTTAGGGATTTTTCTGCCCCCAGCATTGGAGCTTTTAAAAGTTATTTTTGAGGAATCATAAAAAAATTTAATCTTCTATTAAATATCATTAGTATTCTTGGTTGTTTTCTGTTACAATTTGTATGTTGCGTCTGATCCCACCTTTTAAAAAACCCTAGCATTAAAAAAATTTCTGCTGATGGTTGGATATTAAATCGTGTACTGATAATATCCAATTTATGTGCAGAGTGACTTGGACATATTAAAATCCATTTTGGGTACCTTACTGACACTGCTTTTCAAACCCCTTAATTGTTCACTGTTAGAACATAGGCAAGACACTAAGGAAAAATGTGTAGTAAATTGTGTCAGATGATGAATTCTAAAACTCTTTGAATTACCTAGGGCTACCTACCATGCCTCCCTTCCATTTCCCACTCAGAAATTTCGAGCATGGCTGAACATCAGAATCCATGGGGTCCTTAAAAAGAATTCTCCGACTGTAACACTTGATAGGGCTAGATTAAGAACCTAGAAATCTGAAATGTATAAAGGTAATCGTGGTGAATCTGAAATAACTGATCTTACCTCTTTCCTCCTATATATGAAGGCCCTGGAATTGGCCTACAGGGCCCTGGTGGTTCTGAGACTTATGCGTTGGGCTGTTAACCTCGAGGTCAGAGGTTCAAACCCACCAGTTGCTTGGGGGAGAAAAATAAGGGAGTCTGTACCATAAAGAATTAAAGTTTTAGAAACTATAGATAGATGAGTTTCTATCAGTTGCAAATGACATGATAGCAGTGGGTTTGTTTTGGTTTTATTTGTTTGGGTTTATTTGGGCTTTTTTTAAGTAACAATTTTAGCTTCTAGTTATTTTCCCCTTTGAGACTTTATTTAATAATTAGCTTGGTTCTAGAACAGTTTTCATATGTTCATACATATGTGAGGGATGGGCTTCAAAAGTTCAAGTGCATATTTCCAGGACTTTTTGAAGCTTTCCAGAAAATTACTCAACAGGAGTTCTAGATTAGATCACCAAATTTGGAATAGTTGAACAATGACCGGATAAGGGCTTCCTTCCCAAACACTAATGTGTAGCCTGGGATGGGTGATCTGTTGTCACCCAATGGTGGATTGGTTCTTCAGTTAGAGGAAACATAATTAATTTGAATTTTATATTTAATCCATGTTGTAGATAATGAGATATTTCACTTTACTTTAAAAAATTAGACCTATGAAAGACAACTGTTTTTATTTTTTCCTTCAATTATTGGCAACATTTCCAACAATGTTTTGTTGTTGTTGTTGTTGTTTTACATGAACCTAGTGCAAATACAGGAGACATAATAACTGAGGCAAAAGTGCATGTCATGTGCTTCCTTTCCCCTGTAAAATACATTATTTATTTCACATAGAGTTGTCACACCAAATACTGGGGAAAAGTAAAACCTAACCAGATTTCTCCTTAAGATTTATGAAAGTGTAGAGTTTTCCCCCTCATTTTCAAGTAACTGAAATAATTGCTACCTTAGAAAACTTGGCTATTGTCAATAAAGTAGTAATGGTTGTGAAATTATTAATTCTCTTCAGATATATTATTTCTTACGCGTCTTGGTATTCTGGCATAATAAAACACATCCAAAGTTATAATGTGTTCATGAGATCATTTTCAAAACAATCGTATATTTTAAGTAAACATAAAATTGCTGCCCTGGTTTCTGATATACATTAACTTGAAAATTATTGAAATAATTGTTATCACCTTTTTATAGAATTGTTGGTAGTTTAATTTTACTACAGTTACTTTCAAAGATAAGAGAAAGTTTTTGATGGTGTGTTTCTAAATTTAAGGGAATTTATTTAAGTGTAGTACAATAGCATTCCCACACTTGCTCAGTTGGTTTAAAAGATAAAAAGGTTGCATCAGGGGCAACTACAAGAAGCTATGTTTTTGTTCTTCCCCAAAACCCTTTTATTGGGAGTTAATACAGGTATCATTCCATAGTTCAGCCACGCCAAGCAGTAATGTACAATTGCTATGGCAATCCCTTTCAGAAACATTCTCTTCTTTCTTGAATTCTTTGATATCAGCTTCCCCTTTAAACACTCCAACCCTACCCCCACCCCCAACTATATTCCCAAGGAACCCTTATTCTACTTGCTGTCTCTGTAGGTTCATCAATCCTGGGTTTCATATTTTTTTAAAAACACATAATAAAAAATTCAAGAGGGTTACCATCCAATGATAAAATACACCTGAGGTTAATAACCCCCAATATGAAACACACATACACACACACACACACA